CTTCCTCTTCTTCTTCCTCCTTCTTCTTCCTCTTCTTATTCTTCTTCTTCTTCTTCTTCTTCTTCTTCTTCTTCTTCTTCTTCTTCTTATTTCTGCGTAGTTTTTTGTATAGTTTTTTCTTTTCTGTTATATTTATTTGTGAGTAGTTTTTCATCTAGTTTGCCAAAATTCAACATTTTCAGAGTTCATTTTGTAGTGATTTTCAATTTCATGGTCATTTTGTAAACGATTGAAACATAGCAAATATAATTTTTTTTCTTTTCTGCTTTATTTTTTCTTCTATTTATTTCTGAGTAGTTTTTTCTTTTCTGCTATATTTATTTTCTTCTATTTATTTTTGAGTAGTTTTTTATTTTGTTTTTTTTTCTGCTATAGTTTTTCTTCTTTTCTGCTATTTTTTCTTTTCTGCAAAACTTGATGGTCAAAGTCTGGAGTTATAACTTAAAAAAAATGTCGACGTGCAATTAGTTTTTGCCATAACAGAAGAAGTCCGGAGTTGTAATAAGTTATTAAATATAAAAAAGAGGTGCAATGCTCGTTAATTTGCTTCAAGCCTTTCGGAATAGTGTAAACTGCACTGCGCATAGCTCCATGCAGTCTACCGTATTCCTGAAGGCTTGAAGCTAAGCAACGTGAGCATTGATCCTCTTCTTCATCGTCTCTGCACTCAGGGCTTATAAACCGCTCCTAGTCCCTCTCACTTCGCGAGGTGGAACTAAAAAACAGCTTGCCATAACCTCATTAGTACCGGTTCGTGGTATGAACCGGCACTAAATGGTGATGGTGGGGCCATAGCCTGACCGCAGGCTGACACAGCCTCTTTAGTACCTGTTCGTGGCATGAACCGGTACTAAAGGTTCGCCATGAACCGGTGCTATTGATCGCCGCCACGAACCGGCACTAGTGTACACATTAGTGCCGGCTGAAATTCCAACCGGCACTATTGTGCTTCACATTTGACCCTTTTTCTACTAGTGTGAGAAAGATAAGTTGGATGACATAAATATTGATGCAATAATAGATGACTTTGCTAATAGAATTGTTAGACGGATTTCCAAGTTCTAGTATAGACGTGAAATCAGTTTGCTTTACTATGCCTTGTGCAGGAATGTTTGGAAGAATTCGGTTATTATCTGATTGAGAAATTTGGAGTGAAGGACATGGCCGATTGGGAAGGATCCAGAAACAGATGCAAGTTCATGTCTAAATTTTTATCTGATGGTAACACAAAAGATCTAAGTAGCAACCAATTTTGACAGAATTTTTTGTTTTGCAAAACAAAATGAAGTCCCCTTTCAAATTTAGGAATGCGAGCTTTTGTGAAAAGCGAGCTTTTGTCGAACTGCATCATTTCATTACTATCATGGTGTAGTTCACTTGATCGATAAATAAACTGTACTCTCAGTTTTAGAGTCCAAATGAAGATCATCTGGCTATGTGTGTACTGGATATCTACTTTGCTTTTGAAGTAGAAAATGTTTGATTTTTTGAGTAAACAAGGGCCCCTTCTTACTGTCTTGCCCCTGGGCCCTGTATATCTATGCCCCGGCCCTGACCACCACCACTACAAATGTACAACCAAATACCATCTCAAGACACAAATGCATTCGTCACCACACATGACAAGGCACAAATGCATTCTTATTGCCAACAACAACAGTAACCTAGCACTCTAGCTGCAGCACGTCAGGGCTTGGCCAGGAGCTCACGCACCGTCTGTGCAAGCCCGGGCTCACTCCTGATGCCCTCGGCCCATCTCGCGCTGATCCGCACGTTTTCAAGGCTCTGCTTCAGCGTCCTCTCGAATCCAGGCTTTGTGCGCGTTGCAAAGAACTTGGAGATCTCTGCGGCCTTCTCGTTGGAGGTGAACTGACAAGAAACAAGGAAGTCCACATTAACTATGGCCTCATGGAAATAATACCTGCAAAACTGGGGAATATGATCACGGAAATAGGGCAATAGAACTGTGATTAAATGTACCAATGGAACAATGTTTTTAACAAAATTCGCCGCCAAGCTCCCGGAAAATGTCCTTGAGATGCGCTCCCAGTTTTCCTGCAGACAGACAGTACGGTTAGCACCATGTTTTCAAATGTTTCAGTCTGCTAACACTAATATGAACCATCAGTCATCTCCTAAGGTGTCAGATGAAGGAACCGCAAAAAATAGATGGTTGGGTGCTGCAGCCTCAAATTCACTCTACTTAAAATACATTCACAAGGGAAATCCATATAAAGAGATCAGGATCCCGAAACAAATTCACAATCCAGAAGCAAATAAATACTACTACCTCCGTCACGGTTTAGAAGGCTTGCTTGGAAATTCTCTCGGACCTAGGTGGTTATCTATTGGTTGTGAGATGGGCTAAAAAATAGCATTCACACTATGCATGCATATAGAAATAGTACTCCGGAGTACTAATTAGTACTAGAAATAAATGCAATGCGCCCTAAACCTTGTCTATTATGGAAACGCACGCAAATTTAACTGTGCCTTCTAAAGTGTGATGGAGGGAGTAGTATCAATCAATATCATACATATGTACTTGATAAGTATCAATCAATATCTAATATATTTGGTAACCTGGTAAATATCTTATATTTGGTAACCAAATATTAATTGGACACATACCTATTTTATCAGTTTAAGGAACACTACCACCGTCACTGCAAAAAGCCGTCTTATATTAAGGGACGGAGAAAGCTGGAAAATCTATACTTTATAACCAAACACAATCTTATTTTGTGTATTTGCTTTGCATCAAGAGTTGCCCCGTATATTCCGTCGGCTCGGCTTTATAACCACCCGCGTGAAGTCTCTTCGTACATTCAGTTTACCAAAAAAGATACATCAAGGAGGTTTGTTCTAATGACACTGAGATTGGAGCCTTTCCGAAAATTTCTTTGTTTTGCCTGAATTTCCTCTTAATGGATACTTGCTACCTAGTTCCTCCTTGTTCTCATTCTTCATACAACCCGTTTGCACCACATGCATTCATAACAATAAATGATTTGGCTACAAACTGCAATCAGCTGACTCACTACCACCACCACTACAAATGTACAACCAAATACCATCTCAAGCCACAGTTTCCACACATGATAAGGCACAAATGCATTCTTATTGCCAACAACAACTGTAACCTAGCACTCTAGCTGCAGCACGTCAGGGCTTGGCCAGGAGCTCGCGCACCGTCTGTGCAAGCCCGGGCTCACTCCTGATGCCCTCGGCCCATCTCGCGCTGATCCGCACGGTTTCAAGGCTCTGCTTCAGCGTCCTCTCGAATCCAGGCTTTGTGCGCGTTGCAAAGAACTTGGAGATCTCTGCGGCCTTCTCGTTGGAGGTGAACTGACAAGAAACAAGGAAGTCCACATTAGCTATGGCCTCATGGAAATAATACCTGCAAAACTGGGGAATATGATCACGGAAATAGGGCAATAGAACTGTGATTAAATGTACCAATGGAACAATGGTTTTAACAAAATCCGTAACCAAGCTCCCGGCAAATATCTTTGAGATGCCCTCCCAGTTTTCCTGCAGACAGACAGAACGGGACAAATGTTAGCACCATGTTTTCAAATGTTTCAGTCTGCTAACACCAAGTATGAACCATCAGTCATCTCCTAAGGTGTCATATGAAGGAACTACAAAAAATAGATGGTTGGGTGCTGCCTCAAATTCACTCTAGTTAAAATACATTTACAAGGGAAATCCATTTAAAGAAATCGGGATCCCGAAATAAATTCACAAATATGGTTCAGCTGTTTGCAAATATGCCACTTGACTTGAGTTCTTGTTGACAAATACAGAAGAACCCTGGGTCCTCTTTGTAATGCAGAAATCTCAATGAAGTTGGTAGAAAAAGAAGCATATTCTCATGAATGGATATTCAAATTTGTTTAGAATGCCTACAAGAATCTGATGTTCCAGACAGGACCCAGAAATAACGACTTTTACGCATCAACAACACGTCAACACACATAGATAAAAGGGTACTCATTGTTAAAAGAGATCGTACCTTCAACCAGTTCCACGAAATTTCACGTGTCTCTGGTTGAATACCTCTAAGGAGAATATATGCATCTTGATTGCGAACCTGACAAGCAAGAGAGGCATATGAGACCTGAGTACAGCTTGCCCTTGACACACAAGTAAGCTCATAGAAACCTTCGACTATAAATGTGGAAGAAAGTAATGATATTTGCATTTACCTCATTAGTGAAAATTAAATTCAGTGATTCAAGGACGATACTATTATCCCGGCAAGAAGATAATATGCCTTGAAACAATAAGAAAATGCTTTTAGAACAACCAAAAACATGGGCAAGCTTTGTTAGTTTAAGATGGTCAAAGGGCTACACACCTAAGACTTGTAATCTTTCCTCCCCTTCAGCTGACTCCTTGTAGATTTTTCGGAGAGCATCATAACCGGATCTGTTTGAACTACTAACATTCTGCATCACAGAGAGGTATGCGGCCTGCAGAACAGCGCAAGTTACAAATGGAAGAAGTAATCATAGGTACCACGTGAAGTGATAGCAAAAGGCAGGACCTTTCTAGTATCCGGAGGAAGAAGAGAAGTGCCGCGATCACGTGTGAAGATGTTAAAGCGCCTAACTCCTTCATTAATGGTCTTACCATGTCCAAGTTGGACAAGTGCAGTCAACAGCAGTGGTCTAAGCATTACATCCAGGTGGCTCTCACCCTTCTTGGGGTCCCAGCCTAACTTTCTGAAAGATAAGTGTCACATAGTCAAAAAGAAGAAACATAGGAAAATGTAGCAAATATACAGTAATAACGTGAAAGAATCATGCAATTGTCATGCATCGGCCACAAAAGAAGGAATGTTCAAGCAACATGAGAAGTTAGGAAGAAGATTAGTGACATATTATGTTTCCTTTTCCTTTTTGTGAAACAAAAGAGATGATATATTGTGAGTGTAACACATTAAGAAACTCATAGCAGTTATGGTGGGGCATACTCTGCAGGTGACAAAAGAATCTTGATCAAAAGTTGCTTGATGTCACCAGCCAAGGCAGGAGTAGCATCAGCAGATATTTTAGCAATACTTGTGGTTACCTGCCAATCCAAAGTAAAGATATAGGCGATTTATCTTCAGGAACAATTGAACACGATAGAATCAACTGGACCTACAGGATTTACGTACAGTGTTTATGTGTGAAAGAACACTATAATCAGCTTGCCCACGATAACCGTAGAGTAAATGTAGCAACGACGCAAATGTTTGTTGGCGGGCAATAGAAAGCGCATATAAGTCATCCACGATGCCTGCAATGGTAATGTTATAATACCTGCCACCAAAATATTACAAGCAGATTCAATGGTCACATGTTGCGTTTACCAATTTTATCCATTAGTGAGAGCTTCTTGGTCTCCAACGCATTTTGAAGTGCAGCTGCAAGCTCATCGTCATATTTAACTCTGTAAAATCCGGTTCCATTTATATTCAACTTAGTCCAAAAGTTTCCGCCCTTCTTTCGGTCACCACATTGTGAACCAATGACCAGCTTATCATGTTTAAGTTTCAACAACAACTTTTTCTCTGTATCATATGCACCACAGCCTGAAGTTATAGGGACAATCCACATGCCAGAGCCAGAGGACCCATCTAACAAAAACTGGGCCTGCAACAAACAGAAATCATCAAGTTCGCGGAGAAAAATACTATACTCGGAGATCTATCAGTCAACGAGATCAAGTTTTTAACATTTTTATTAATTAGTTTTTTCACTTTAACCAATATAAAATAAGACACACTTTTGTGAAAACCCTCTCTTTGCCTTGGTCTAGTGGCTAAGGGTGATCTATTAACTCGTAGAGGGAAGTGGGCGCAGCAATACATGAAATAATTGGTAAATAATTCTAAATAATCAACATATTTAAGAAAAGGAAGCCAGTCTGACCTAATACCATAATTTATTATTGTACATAAAATTATATATCGAGACTCACATTTGACAGGAAAAATGTAATGATTATTTCTTGAATTGTGTGTCTGGATTTATTAAAAATAAACACCCTTTCAGAAAAATGAAAGAAAAATAAAGAAATTCAAACATATATACCAAATTATCACTATTAAACATACAAGTACATTACTACAGAAAAAACAAACTTCATGATTAAAATTTGATAATTAATTTATGCCTATTGCCTTATAATACTAACTTTATATGTAAGTCTGAATCTGACACTTCCATTTCAAGCTGTCATAAAATTTAACACTAAACATTGCTCTCAAATATTATTTGATCATTCAAATTAGCAATACATAACTGAAACTGCAGAAAACTGTGGTCTAGATCTTTTTGCAACCATCTGATTTAAATCAATAGTCATGCAGGATGTGTATCCCTGGGCTGAGATGGGAACATGGGAAGTAATGTGCATTTAAACATGTCTCTCGTGATTTGTAGGGAAACGTCTGTGCCTATCTACCTTACCAAATTAATTGTAGGTTTCCTTATTAGCCTTATCTGCACTAGGGCCCAAAATAACCTTCAAACTTTCATCAACCAACCACTCAGATTTAAACCACCTCTTACCTCTAATGTGGTAAGATAGAGCACCCTAAAAGAGCTCCAACTTCAGAACAAGATCTAATTCAGTTCTTCTACGAGATTCATGTAAGTTGTTCTTGATACCATTCAGCCATATCCCAGAATATATGATCAGATACTAGGGCTGCTGTGTAAATACGTGAATGCATCAAGTGACAGATCAATGGCCGTAGGGGCAGTAAAATATTTCCAGTTTTTTTACATCATTGAGTACAGTATTCTCAGAGGACCAGTTACAGTCAGTTAAACATTCACAAAATGGTATGGAACAAAAACCAAGGTTTGGTCAAGCTTTTGCCACAACCAGTTAGCAGATGATTCTCTTAAAGAAGAAACTCTAAATGGCATGCCACGACTAGAACTTAACTAAATAGCAAGGACGGAGCAGCCAAATACGCAGCGGGGGATATAGGTATAGGAGCGGGATGGAGCTCCCGTGCTCTGGCGATTCTGGCGCCTGCGCCGGCGCGCACCCGCCGCCGGTGGCGCCCCCCGCCTCCATCCCAGCTGCCCCCTCCAGCGAGTGCCCCGCTCCGGCAGCCGCGGCGCCTCCCTCCCCTCCAGCCGCTCCTGCTGCCGCCCCCTCCGCGCCTCGG